CACTGCTTTGCGAGCAGAGGCGAGCTGATCATAGGAGGGTACATTACATTTTTTAATATCCCTGTAATTTAGTTTAGTGGCAAAACGCAACGCGCGTTTCATCAAAAAAAAAAAAATCGGCCCGTTAAAAAGCTTATATACGATCCTGACGATGTAAGAATTTGAGTATCAAACAAGCGTCAGGTCGAATAGGGGGTTTTCGGTCCCCCAGGACTCTCCGCCTGGATCCGCCACTGAATCCGCACCCTAAGCCATTTTTAAAAGTTTGCCCAACGCTTTTTTCTGAACAGCACTACTTTCATGAATACTTATGGCGTTGACTAGAAAAGCATTAACCTTCTTTAAATAACCGATCCTATAGGTCTATTTTAACATCGTGAAACGAAAGGTTTCGCCCAAATTTGAGTGTTATACCTGGAAGGAGTCTTAAAAAAAATACACCCCAATGCATGGAAAGGATTCACAACCTACCAAACTGTCCTGACAGCCAGTTAAAACCCTAACCCTGTCATTAAACACATTACCCAGTGTGTGCTCCCATTTTTTATATTCCCCATTCCTAGTTCCTATTTTAGCAACATCCCCTTCCTCTTAATTTGTCTAAAACACTCAAATTTTTCATTATCTTGCAATAGGTGCATCCTAAACTGTGCTTCTGTGGTCAGCTCGTCATCTACTATTTCTTTGAGATCCCTTTTTCTCAGTCCTTGTGATGAAGATGGTTGTTATACCTCTTTGATATACAACTGGAAAATGTTCACAAAAGGAGGAAATTCCTCACATTTCGTATGGACTTATGAAACAGACTTGGCACGCTATCTCCTAACCAAAGTGGATTCTAAGAATTTGGTTCTGAAGCCACAAGAGCTTTCACCCGGTTTCGAGTATCGTTTAACAGTCGATGTGCGATCTCTAATTGGTGAGCGCGGATGGGCAGAATACCAATTCAAAACATCTGAAGCCCCTGCAGGAGGGTCATGCAATGCTACGCAGCTGGAAAGCGACGGGCTGCAAATAGCGCTGAACATTTCTTGTGAAGGATGGGCTGACAGTGACCAACCACTGATGTATGAATTCTATCGTAAATTAGATGATGGAACATTCGATATGCTGTGGTATGGCTCTTTATCTCAGTGTATCGTGCATCTTACGCCATTGGCGCCTAAATTTAAGGTGGATCTTAAGGTTGATATATTAGACGCCCTTGGAGCAGTGACTGAAGAATTTCTACAGATTCAAGTAAGAAAGTGCATATCTAACCTAATTTATCGATAGCATTAATGAAATTCGTTTTGAAGTGTTTATTCACTATCAAGCAAGTTTCAGTGCGAGGGCATTTCCCCACGGCTTTTCTCTTTCCCCACCCCTATTTTCTAATGGAAACGCTCTGGGTGCGAGGTTGGGAAAGTATTACTGGAAATCAAAGATGTCCTGAATCATGCGTGATTCCTTACAGACTTAAGAAAACAGAAAAGGCGAAAAGTTAAGTAAAGAAAAATAGCTCAAATTTTCCCGATCACGTGATCAATTGCGCCAGAGTTTGCGTACTGCATCTTGTTCAATGTCGGATTCAAAGTAAGGAATCTAATACCAACGTTGACCTTATATAGATCTCTAAATGGCCTTAGACTTATCAATGGATGGACTAGAGAGCCTTCTATTTACATAATGTGGTGATATCTTAACCGAAAGCATTTTAGATTTGTGCACTTGTTTTTACAGATATTACAACAATAACGCCTCCCATTTAATAAACGTTCCCACTTAAGCACCTTAAATTTAACAGGGCGTCTGCTACGGGACGCGTAAAGTTACCTGAAATTTTGGACTCGTATGTAATCATGAAGTCTGGAAGCAGTACAGATGAAAATTTTAAAACAACACCCTAAAATGGAAACACAAATGATGGCTTGATGAATGCTACACGTAGTTAACTTTTTCTTTACAAAATTTAAGCTTAGGTGGTTAGCCTGAGAAAACAGCCAGCATGTCGCGACGCCATCATTGGTTTCTCCGCGAAGCGACGTCTGATGTAGGTAGTACTTTTGATTGGTTGAAAATTTGCTTCATTCCATCAGAAGCACTATTCAGATCTGAGTAATGACGAGTTATAACTACTGGAATTTCTGCGCTCGTTTCTCAAACGTCATTTCACGAAGAAACCCGCATTAGTGGCGCGGCTGTTTTCTCAGGCTACGCAATGTAGAGTGCTTTAATAGCTGATTCCATCCAACATTTAATCATGAGGCATCCAGAACTCATAAGGGGTTGAAACTCGCGCGCAATGCTTGTAAATATCAGTCATTTTTTAGTACCATGCTGTGGTCTCAAAAAACGCAATAGGTTTAACAACGAAATTGAACGCGCATCACGCTTTTTTGCACATTTCTTTACTGTCACTGCACGACTACGACGTCAAAGTGCCTAATTTCACGCTTTGCAGAGAGCGAAAACAAAAGACAACGCCCTTCTTTTTTTCCCTTGAACTTCGATGTACGTAGTCTTTAGTTTTTAACCCCCCAAACATTTGCTAACATTTGACGATCTGAACGAGGTGGGATACGCGCAACAAATTTGAAGCAGCGCGAATTCACTTTAAAGTGACGTTTTTGCAGGCGTCGCCGTCGTTTTTGCTTAAGCTGCCTATTTTTTGAGTGAATGCGGTTACGTGGAGTTAAATTAACTATCACGTTGTAACGAAGTTCTTTTGGTCAGTTATCTTTTTCTTCTATGTCCAAATATGGTACTTGCGTAAATGAATACTCACGAGTATCGGACAAAGCAAACATATGAGAATAATACGTTTCAATCCCTTTATGAGTTTTACTTCTGTTTTTTAAAAGGTTTTTTCGCCACCTGAACCAAAGAATGACGAGATGATTTATGAAGCATTGAAGCAAATGGCTGACGACATGGATCGGTTGTTGATGCTCGATCAATCGAACCTGGTCATTAGACGAGCAGAATCTCTTCTCGATTCGGCTAAAATGGCCAAAAATCGGATCAATGAAACTTTCCATGAATGGGTAACGACTTACTTTAATTATTATCAAGTTCTCTTTTTAACTTAACTGCTTATACTGCACCTGACTGGAGTGCGAGAGCAGACGCCTCTTTCGGTTCTTGTTTCACTCGCCGAAAATGGTGTCTGTTCTCATCGCAGTCTAGCACCTAGGACACTCGGGGTCCTTTCCTTCCGTATTTACCACAAACAAATGTTTGCATAATATCAAAACAGAAATTACGTGCCTTATTGCCTATTTGTAGAATCAAAGAAAAACCCGCGGTTACCTCTGGATTTTGTTTGTTGTTGCTGACAAAGAAAAAAAAATGCAGGTCTTTCTTTACTGTATTGTGGTGACCATGACCTCCATCATCTACTACTTTAGGTCATGTTCACACTTAACGCACGAAAACCATTATTCAGGATCGCGCTTCTGATTGTTCACTCATAACAACGGTGATTTCGGCGCAATTTCTGTAACGGCGCGTTGCTGCGCCAAACGAGTGGGTAGTCACATATCGGACAGGTCACTATACCGGATAGACACGAAAAGCTATCCAGTAAAATGTGAACATAGCCTTTAAGTTTACATCCTACGTAATGCCAGCATTAGCTAGGCTAAAAATCATACAATGTGGTGGTATGAGTATTGATTACTTCCGTTCCCTTTTGCACAAATCCGAGCTGTATTTGGTAAGAATTTATTATCGTGTTCCTTTCCTGAGGTAACAAATCATTTGAAGCTAAGCAAAGACAGCTCAAGTGTTTATTTGTCAAAATTTAAGAGAAACCTTGAGGACACTTTTTTTTGTACGTGTCCCAGTGATGAGAAGGTACTCACGCACACACAGTCACCAGCCTATCGCCTCACTGCGCTTGATGTACTTGGAAAGTGACTCAATAACCACAATCAAAACTTAAGAATGATTTAAGATAGCAGTTAATAATTTAAAATACTTCTCAAGCATTAGTTTTCAAGGACTGAAAAACGTCTCAAAACACTAGCATTATTTCCTATTTAACTCTAGTAGCCATGTTGAAAGTTCCCAAGATATCAAATTGAATTATCAGAGTAATTATTTTTTTTATTTCACATAGAAATGATATATTTATCTTTCTAATTTCGTTGCAGGTCATTGAGCACGTTATTTCCAGGGTTACTAAAGTAAACGCGGAGAGCCTTGAACGGCTATTTCAGGTTGCAATTATGTTGGGCAAAGCAACGGAGGACATCGACAAATTGACTACTAAGAACATGGTAACCTATAAAACGCTCTCTGCTTTAGTCACTGGAAACTGCCTCACATAAATCGAGAGAACGTGATTTGAATAACTCCGAAGATCACACTTGCGAAAACATGATCCCCAGTAATTTTGAAAATATAGTCTTATATAACAGGCTTTTTCGACTGGCCTTTTTATCCTTTCTCCCTTAATTGAGAACAAAAGATCTTTTTAGAGAGTTCTAGTTCAAAGCAGAGACCTTTAGTTTCGAGGACGAGGACGACTGAGACGACGTGATTAAACTTAAAGACATCCCGGAAATCTTCATAGTAATTGAAGCACGACTTCTCCCGATTGCAAAATGTTAAAACTTCTAACATTTGACAGCTTGTTTCGCCAATACATTTTCGCAAAAACTCGCAGTGACAAATGTCATGTTTTCCTGCCAAAATGACGCTGTTCACGCGAGCGCACTACTAACTATTGAAAGAATCTCGCTTGCGCAGTCGTCCTCGTCGTAGAGTCTAAGGGCACCAACTGAAATTTTCTAGACGGCTGAACTCATCTAGTCGGTTAACGCCGTAAACATCACGCAAATCTAAAAAAACAAACAAACAAAAACAAAACGGTGCAAGACAAGTGCAAGTGCAAGTTTTTCGGCAGTTTCAGAAAATGGAAGCCGGCCTTGCTGCTATGACACGTCAACTTTTAAAACGGTGTTCCACGTTCTGCAATAAATATCGTTATAATATTGCACAAAAATGCTTTGATTTTCCAGCGTACGGTTTTAGCCAAACTTGATGACATGAAAGGAGTGCTTTTACTGAAAGCCAAGTATAAAACTGACACAAGACTCATCAAGGAAGGGGTTCGGTCTTACTTGTACTGTATCAGCAACATGAAAAAAGCTACATCTGAGTCATTTGAGGGAAACAGTACTGGAAGATTTTCACTATCGAATGAGGTAAATACCACCGTGGTAATAGTATTCTTTTTTCTCTACAGAATATAAAAAATTGTCAAGAGAAAAGAATAATAATAAATAAAGAGAAATGGGAAGATAGTACAACTCAGTAATAAATATGAAATAGAAAGGTGGATTCTTAATTAACAGGATGCAATGGAAAAAATGGTGACACAGATAAACAAGTGGTCAAAACACAGACAAAAACACTGATTCACATGAAAGTAGTATATTTATGTATATATGGTATGAGTAGTATTGGGATAATAATGATTGAAGAGGGAATTCCGTAAAGCCTAGAGCGGATAGGCCAACAGTCTGAATTGTACTGACCAAATCGTCATGATCGCCTGAGTCTTCTCAAAATGGTTTTAGACAACATGCAGCTTAAAGTGGGACGATTTAAAATAGAAACTGCAGGAAATCAGGATAAAATTTCTGTTTTCAATGGCTGTACCGTAACTTTCCTAACGTTTTCCCTATTATTCACACAAAACATTCGCCGCTTCTGATTCCTCGGTCTGCACAATTCTTCACATCACATACACGAAGAATTTAGTAATTGGTAATTATTTTTAACGCTGACTCAAGCTTGTAAATCAATTTTCTCTTAGGAAAAGCGGAGAGCCGAGATGCGCTTAGAGTTACATGTACTGACAGATGTAATGACCAACACAATGCTTTCACTGAAACAGCCTGGAGAAGAATATTCCGCGGTAAAAAATAAGCTTCAATCCACTGTTCTGGGGAGAGAGGAGGTAAAGGATATAACACGACTGGCTGTAAAGGATAACGAGCGAGGCGCAGGATTTCAACTCCCCGAATTCAGCAATGAAACAATGGCTGAAATATTTGCAGAAACTCCCGAAGTGGGAGTTCAGGTAAAATATAGATCAGAGCGTTTTCACATGACGTCGCGGCAGCCGTGTTGGTGTTCCAAAGTAATGAAACGGCGGCCATTTTGGTTTCTCAAGCAAGTCCTGTGGGAGTTGAACTCTCTTCTTATGTGGATGCTTTCGTTTTTTCCAATAAATTTGAATAGATGCTGACCACGTGAGTGAAAACGCTCAATATATAAAAGGTCTGGATCACCTTTAAAAATCGCAGACAGCGATTCATGTGTTTAATCTTAAGCTAAGAAGACTAAAATGCATTTCACACCTTACTGTTCAATTTTGCTGACCAGCAAAATGGATACAGTTAAAGATTTCTAATAAATATAACTTTTCTTCGTGCACTAAAATGTTGTATTTGATTTGTTGCCTAGATGATCACCTACGAATTCATTCCTCAGTTGTCAACTAACAGCACCAATCATATCAATTCCAAAATCGTCAGCGTGGATTTGAAGAATGACCAAGGCCATACAATGCAAATTAAAGGCTTACCTTCAAACATCGCTATCAAAGTTCCATTCTCGCAAAACGCAAACAATACAAACTCTACTCCAGTTTCGCAACGATTCTTAAGTCCTGGAATCATGAATTATCACATCGTTAGCGTTGAACATGAGTACACTGAACTGCATGCAGCCATAAAATTATGCCAACAGGCATATTTTACTGTTTACATTAAACATGGAAAAAAACCATCTGAAAATGATTTCGATGACGTGGTTTCAATAATTGGCGAGAAAAATATATCCGATTCAGGTTGCGGTGGTAATGAAGACGACTTCGCTGTCCGAGAAATTTGGTTCACTGCAATCAAACCGGGGAACTACTACTTCGGTCTTCGACTGGATGAAGGAAACACAGCTATCCAATCAAGAAACAGGCGTTCGCTGATGTCTGCAAGTCTGTCACAGGACAGATGCGTCACCTTCAAAAATCCCCCACCAACCCCACCACGAGAACTCGTCGTCATCGAGCCCATATACGACCCTCAAACGTCTGTAAACTACAGTTTTTTTGTGGATACCATTTGGTGTGCTTTTTGGTCTGAGAGCGAAGAAGTGTGGTCAAATGAGGGATGCATAGTAAGGGCGATCAATTTGAAACCTTGGAAAGTGAAACAAATCAGGGGCACCCAAAGACGTTTTTTCAGTAAAATAACGGTTCGAAGGAACAAATATTGCCTACAAGATAAATTCTGGACAACTGTTTCACTCTTCTAAGATATTTGGGGTTTTTCACGTAACTTATACCTAGAACGATTTTGGGAGGTTGTGATTTCACAAAATCGATATACGAAATGAAGGTCCCCTAGAAGTTTCTAATGAAAGTACGACTGGACCCATTAGGGACTATATTTCTCTAGGGCAGCTCCAAATTAACCAAAAAGTCTTCTAAAGCATAGAGAAAACCATTTGAGACACTTGAGACCCATTTGAAAACATTCCGTTGTTGGGTGCCCCTGTTTTACATCGTTTTGTCATGTAACGGCAGATTTCTACAGAAGCCTACATTCTTTGGGTGAACAACTTAAGCTTTACATTACAAATCCGCCCTAGACCGTCTTTTCAAAACTAGCTGGAACCTCTTCAACTGAACTGGCTTCAACCTCTCCCCTTAGTGTTCTTAGAAAATGGGAGGGGTAGGTTGGAATGGCTTGTTAAGTGTTGCCAGTTAATTATTATGGTTAATTCATGGCTAATTAATGTAAGGGCAAGCATACAAAAAACAACTGACATAACAACAAAAAGTATCTTCCCACAAAGCCCTCGTAAGGGACGTCAAGTCAAATCCAAAATATTCTGACTGAGTATTGTCTTACTGAAAGCCGAGTGGTATGCCTTTCATTCATAGGTGGGTAGAAATTCAAGCAGTACATCTCTGGAATGTCTCTGTAATCACTTGACCTCTTTCGGTGGGGAATTCCTTGTGGCACCAAACGCCATCGATTTCGATGCAATCAAGCGGACAATGGAAAACTTGGATCCTGGTGACTTGTTAGTCCTGGTCACTGTCTGTGTTGTATGTTTGGTATATTTTCTGGTTCTAGTTGCCGCACGCCGAGCTGACAAAAGAGATGCTGCTAAGGTATCTTCTCTGACGATATTTTACAATTCTTATTTGCAACCACGTGACAAGGCGGCACCGCCATATTGGTTTAAGAAACACTATTTTTTGCATAATTTGCATTAAAAAATGTTTCTTTCCCAGAGGAGAGAAACGCTTTTGTTCTTGTCAACCAACATTGCTGCCGTGACGTTACATGCAAATCAACAACAGAAAGTTTAAGCAAAGACGTGTTTTAGCGACGCACGTTAACCGAAAGTGGACTTTTGCATTCTTGGGCAGTGGTCTTGCCCAAATGTATTTGGCAAATCGACTCTGCCCTGTTCGCACTACGCTAAACTTTGTTTTTTTTTTTTTGTGCAAAAAAATATGTCAACAGTCAGCCATTTGTAGAGCAAATGATTTTTCTCACCTACCAGGAAATTTTCTCAAGTGTCACCAAACTTCAAAGATGTGGTCGAGTAGATTTGGAGGCCTACAGTTTTTTGTCAGACAAAAGAATTCTTTGTTCCTTCACAGCTATACTTCGTTGTGTCATCTTAGTTCGCGAACATGACCAATTAAGGTTCCTTTAATTGACAGCTCTGGTTATACGAAAAACTTTGCGTGTCTCAGACACTAAGCGAAAACGGAAAATTGGTGATTACAACAGTTTGAAATTTTTTGGAAACACCAAACTCTATTTTTTTGACGTAGTGTGAAAAGGGCCTTAAACGTACCTACGTACGTACCTCAAACACGTCTTTTCTTAAACTTCCTAATATGTTATCTAACTAAGATTCCCAGACAGCATGATTAATAGCAGCAGCAGAAAAAGCGCACTATAAGTAGCAGTTAAGTAGGTAAATTATTTAAAGTCTTAAGTCCAAGTGTTTTGATTTCCTTCGTGACAATGAATAAGTTCCCCAACGAATCTGATTCAAAAGATCAAGATACCTTCTTAGCACTCATGTTAACATAAAAAAGTGCAAAAACTTATTTGCTGTGTCAAGATGAAGCACGTTTGCAAGTAATTTTGGCTCATGCAGAACAAAGAAAACCTGTCTAATTTGTCTTTCAGGACAGCCCTATTATACCAGTGACCCACAATGATGATTGCGAATATGAATACATAGTATCTATAACTACGGGCGCATGGAGAAACTCAGGAACCTCGGCTAATGTTTCGATGGTCCTTTATGGTACAGAGGGTGTGAGCGACGTCATCAACCTCGTGGATGGATGTCTGGAGGAAAGGCAATTTTTCGCGCAAGGAAACACGGACAACTTCTTAATATGTCTACCGCAACCTTTGGGGTCCCTAGTTAAAGTAAAAATTGGACACGACAGTTCTGAAAATAATGCATCTTGGTTTCTTAGTGAAATTGCAGTTATAGATAGTCAGACCGGCGAAAAGTGGATCATAAGCTGCTATAAATGGCTCGCTCTTGATAAGGATGATGGAAATACTACAGAGATGTTTTATGTTGAAAACGCAGACAGTGACATAGGTTTTAAAAGAAAATTTAACATTTTACAAAAAACAGGGATCGCCGACGATCACTTGTGGTGGTCTGTTGTTTGCAAGCAACCCAAGAGTTCCTTTACTCGTGCGCAGAGGGCATCTTGTTGTTGCTGTTTCCTTCTACTTTTCATGGTTACGTCAGCTATGTTTTATGGACTAGAAAATCCAGACCAACAAACCATCAGAATAGGACCATTTAGTGTTACTCCAAGCCAACTGATAATTTCAGTGCAAACAGCTTTGATTACAGTGTTACCGAGCGTTCTTATTACAATACTTTTTCGTAAAAGTGATGATAATCGGGCCCCCAGAGGTAGAAAAGACCATTACATGGAAGACAAAAGAAGAAAAGGGTGCAAACTACCATACTTTTGCGTTTATATAGCCTGGTTTATATGTGTAGGTACTGCCATCGCCTCGGCTCTTGTGACTGTGTTCTATTCACTCGCTTGGGGAGGAAAAAAGTCTGCTCGATGGTTGTCTTCCGTTGTCATGTCACTGACTGGGGATGTTCTTATTTCCCAGCCGATCAAGATAATTATGATATCTGTTGTTGCTGCCTCGCGATGTGGTCGGACCAAGGGTCTTCAGGCAACGACACACGACACTGATGATAAACCATTGTTTGAAATGCCCTCAGATCAAATACAACAAGCAAAGGAGTTTAAAATGAAAGAGAAAAGGATGCTCAAATTTATAAAGGAGTTAGCTTTCCTTATTTTGTTTGTTTTATTGTTGATGATTGTCTGTTACGGCGACAAAAATAACCATCGATTCAAGCTGACGGATAGCACGGCAAAGAGCGTTGATAAATTTGACCAGGTTTGTGTTAACAACAGCAACAACAAACTCTTAAACCAACTACGAAAAAAATAATAATAAAATAAATAAATAAATAAAAAACAAAACTAAAAAAGCAGTTGGTGTTACGGATTTTTACTTAGACCGGTTTTTAATTATAACGGGAAATTCCTTTGCTTTACCAAGAAAACACGGACTGCTTTCCAATGTCAATTCTTGAGCAAGTCTTGCCAAAATTTCTAGTGGTCGCTAACCCGATGTTAAATTTTCCTGGACCACTGTTGAAAACAACTTTTTTTCTTAGTTGATTTTTAAGACTTACTATGTCCAGACATCAAAGTGTGTTACGACAACCCCAGGCTGTCGTAACTCGTTGAGACCCAGTGGTGACCAGTATCAAATTTCTCCTCACAGACTTCTGAGCAAAATCGAGCAGGGAAGTTATGAGATTTAAGGCAATAATCGAATAAATAGCCTAAATAGCCTACATAATTGATCTTTTGACATCATCTCCATACAAAAATAAATAAATAAAAAATGATGAAAACCAGTTAGAAGAATAAATGTGTTGATATTATGGCTCAAAAGGGCCATTAACCCTGCTTTGAGCAACCCAGCCAAGGACGCTTTCCAGGCAAGAACATGGAGAAAGGATACATTAAGGCGAAAAATACTCACATTTAACAAGAAATACACACCACACATCCCTCTGTCTATCTGGCAATATAATGTAAAACATCAGTAATAGTTTTAGTAACACAGCTTGGCGTTGCGTTCTTACTCTTAGCTAAATGACTTCTGTTATCAATAACGTTTTACTTTCAGATTCCAAATGTTACCCATTTTTGGCGATGGATGAAGACCAGCTTTATATCTGCCATCTTCACAGGGGATTGGTATAATGATCAGCAAGAGGAAATTGAAGAATATATCGGCAATAAACGATCCATTCTGGTAGGAATGCCACGGTTGAGGCAACTCCGTGTTGTAAAAGGTATTATATGGGGATTTGCCTGATATTTGTTCGCTGTTTGCGCTATACATTTTTTTTTTCTTTTTTCCTCACATTTTCTTTAATCTTGTTGAATTGTTTTTTTCTTATTATGGAAGCTACCGTTCATCGTGTTATGTGTGCGATTCTGTGCTTTTATTACTTGTCTCGCGATATTTAGACCGGGTATTGCTAGTCTTCCAAAAGCGATTGTAGCGTTTTTTAAACCAGTTTCCTTTCTCTATTTTTTTTATTCCACAGATTCGTGTGATGTCCCTGGTATGTTTAGAAACATTATTTCCTTTTGCCATGACTTCTACTCTCACAAAGAAGAAGACAAGGATAACTGGGGATCAATAACAGGATATTTCAACCGATCGTTTCTGTCATGCCCGGAGAACTGGGAGTACAGCACAGACGATGAAATCGGTAGCTTTGACACTTGGGGTTATTTCGCTACATACAATGGAGGGGGGTACATAGCCAATCTAGGATACAACGCGTTTACAGCCAGAAATGTTATCGACGATTTAATTGCAAATGACTGGATCGATCGCCAAACCAGAGCAGTAATAGTCGAGTTCTCATTGTACAACCCTTCGAGCAATCTCCTTGCGGTGTTGTCATATTATTACGAAGTTCTTCCTTCAGGATTCGCTGGAACTTTCAAGAGCCATGGAATAATACCTCTTAAGCCAACACATTCACATGCGCATAATGTCTACTTGTTTTTTGTACTTCTTTTTGGCGTGTTTCTCGTTTGCTGCTTCTTCAAAGAATGCGTTAGACTTTTCCGGCAAAGATGTTCCTATTTCACTTCTGTCTGGAGTTGGTTGGAGCTTCTTCAGATTCTATCCGCATCTTGTGCACTACTTCTTCAATGGGAAAAATTTAAAGAGCTTACAAGAACATTTGCGAAATTGAAGGAGAATCCTTTCGTGACAATAAGCTTTCATCAAGTGTTAATGCTGTCCGAAGCTGAGACTGCTGTGATCTGCATAACAACTGCCTTTGCAACCCTACGTCTTCTGAAATGCTTTTATTTTAATGCGCACGTCATAAGGTTTTCTTTGTTTATGAGACGCCGCTTCACGTCTATCGCGTCGTTCTTTGCAATATTCTGTGTCATGTTTACCGGGTTCGCTCTATTAGGAGTTATTGCATTAGGCTCTGAATATTCAACTTTCTCTTCTTTCACCACAGCTTTTGTGACTCAGTTTCTCATGATAATCGGAAGTACGTCTATGATAGATGAATTGGAGGAGGCGGGTCCATTCGTTTTTGGCCGGTTGTTCAGTTTCAGTTTCATATTTACTACCGTGATAATCACTACAAATATGTTTGTTGCCGTCCTCAATTTTTCCTACTCAAATTGTTGCTCCGACGATCTGGAACTACAGGAAGAATTAGACATGTCAAATTTCATTGTAAACCAAATATTGAAAAAGGTTTTCGGTTACACCATTAAAGAACAAAACGGAACATCAAAGAAACTGTTTCTGGACTTATCAGAAACCGAAGAATCGGGTGAGACAGAGGATTTGTGGAGATCTAACTGGTCTTTCTCAGTTGCCAGATTTACCCCTATTATGCATCGAAGTCGAACAGTCCCGTTCCGTAGTCACGGAAATGTCGATGACGGGGAAACAATGGTACATCGCGATATCAATAACGCGCAATCCTTGCTTTGGGAAACATGCAAAGCTGATGAAAAACCCCGTCGTTATGTCCCTCGAACTGTTTACACAGACATTGACGAGGAGTCGATAACAGGACAAAACGAAACAAGCAGTACTGGAAACCCCGAAAAGGTCTCATTGCCCTCTGGTGACGTTTGCTTGGCTCCTTTAAATGGAGACAAAGGCGACAGGCTGAAAACAGGATGTGTGTTCTTAGTTGACGACATCATTTGTGGAGCTGATGGCTATGACGATGACTATGACGACATCGATGTCAAGAGTGCCAAAAATGATCCCTGGGAGGAGTTTTTGAAGCTACTGGACGAGGATTGCTTTGATGACTCTTCATCAGTTGTTCAGTTGGGTTGATCCAGTCCGGGGGGAGGGGTACTCCCCTATAAAATTGACGGGGGCGCTAGTCGTACCTTTTAGGGGTTTAAATTTGTGGATTGGTACCGCTTAGGGTGCTAAAACCTGAAATAACTGCTGCCAGGGTTGTCTTTGTACCTTTTCGGGGCCTGCAGTAAAGTTATCGCCCAAGGTTATCAATCTCAAAAATGTATTTGTGTCAGTTATATAAATTTGTTGTTGATGAATAGGCCATTTGCATGATGGCATCATTTTACTAGCTGCTACCTCCTGAATCCTTCGCGTTTTTGCTTTCTTGTGCAAATTAGCGCTATTGTTATTTAAACCACGCTGGGATTACCAAATTTAAATGTGAAAGGAAAAACGAAAAGAATTCTGGTCGTAGTAGTAAAATGACGCCATCGTGCAAATGGCTAGCCTGCGAAAACATCCGTTTCTCCTTGCTCTTCGCCGCTAGGGACGTTTCGCACGGAGGAACGTCTGCGACTCAGCGACAGAAATTCCACACTGATGACGCAAATCAATGTTTACATAATAAATCCGGTAGTCATGGGGTTCCAAATGTGAATATATTCAATTTTAGGTTTCTCCTGGTCGATCTTGGTAAAGTGTTGTGTTCATCTGCGAACGAGCTCCAGCAAAACTCAAATGCTTGTTCTAGAGAAGACTATATTCCACAAATATTGACTGTTTTGTTAAAGACTCATCGCCTTTACATTTGACCTTTGTGGCCTTTTTTCTTTTGTCTGTCATTCGTAAACAAAAGCTAAAACAATGTATCTACTCCGTCGACCAATCAGGGCTTGTGACCAGATTCTGGACATATTTTATGTCATCAGTATGGAATTTCTGTCGCTGAGTCGCAGACGTTCCTCCGCCCGAAACTTCCCTAGTGGCGAAGAGCGTGGAGAAACGGATGTTTTCGCAGGCTAGCAAATAGCCTATTGGTAACTCTTAGGAGTGAAAATGAATTTAGGACAAGAACATAATGCAAATTTCTGGTACCATTTAGGGGTGTTCTAGAAATTTTCCGACGAGCACTCCCGTCACCCCCAATCGATCGCTGATAAGTTTGAGCTATTCGAATGATATATTCGATTTTTTATTAAACGTTTGCTTTGCTCTTCGTTTTGGAAATTGTTGTTTCTATTATGTCTTTGACAAAGCAGAAGACCAACCTTTTGCTTTTATGATGAGTGATGAAGCCATATGAACGGAACAGTAATTATAACGATCTAGGTAACACCTTTATTTATTCAAAGGCGTTACCTAGTTCTTTTAATTAATTATCCTTGCAAAAGGCGATGTACCTTCAGAGCAACCACAATGATCGATTTGAGAAATCACACAGTTTTCTAAAACTTACCAAGAGATAACATCATGTAAATTAATGTTATTGCTACTTCAATTACGTCAACCTCTAAGCTTAGTGTTGAATACTGACCGTTTACTTAAAACGAAAAATTGTCAACAGAAAAGAAATGAAAAAAACTACATTGAGCGACCCAGATACGTCTCACAAAAAATTATCTCGGGCATCAAAATTAAAGAAAATTGTCAGCCTTCAGCAAACAACCTCTTAAAGCAGGTGCAAATCAATGAGCCAAGCGATTTGATCGAGTAACATTGGTCAGCGAATTCCCCACTCCGACATTTGTCAATTATTCTTATAACTAAGTTCTTGTGAGCTTAGCAATCCTTCCAAGACCATGAAGACGTCTCCCAACAACAGTGCACGATGAAGCGTCAACCATGTATTTTATAACGTAAATTTAAGAGAAAACTTTTGAATTTGTTATTAGACAGTAGGGAAAAGAGGTGAGTGTTGTTGCCAATTGTCATCTGCGCGAGCTGTGCAGCTGCTATCGCGTGTGCAAATCATTCTTTGCACAGTTATTTCTTTCAAAAAAAAATTGCGGTGAATTAATAGTTTTGCGGCACCTCAATATGGATTTTACAATCTTTTTGAATAAACTTTCTGTCAGTTTCAACACAAAAACATAAACAATGTGAGGTAAAAAAATATAGTCATGCAGACATTGACGCGTACTGCTTTGAGCGCGCGCTACAATAATAAAATTTTAAGTTAACTACTTGAACTTTGGAAATCCCTGCGAGGGTTAAATAATAAAAGCGCTAATTTGCACAAGAAAGTAAAACCCTGAAGGATTCTGGACGTAGTAATAAAACGACGTCATCGTGCAAATGACCTATTGTTGTTTCTATTATGTCTTTGACAGAGCAGATGACCAACCTTTTGCTTTTATGATGAGTAATGAAGCCATATGCAAGGAACAGTAATTACAGATCTAGGTAACACCTTTATTTATTTAAAGGTGTTGTCTAGTTCTTTAATTATTTATCCTTGCAAAAGGCGATCTACCTTCAGAGTAACGGCAGTGATCGATTTGAGAAATCACACAATTTACTAAATTTTATTAAGAGATAACATCGTGTAAATTAATGTTATTGTTATCGTGGCTAGAATTACACCACTCCAATTACGTTCACCATTTAAGCTTAGCTCTCGTGTTGAATACTGAACGTTTACTTAAAACGAAAAATTTTCAAGTTATTGTCAACAGAAAAGAAAAGAAAAGAAAAAATACTTTGAGCGACCCAAATACGTCTCAAAAAAATTTTCCCTGGCATCAAAATTAAAGAAAATTGTCAGCCTTCAGCAAACGACTTCAAAAAGCAGGTGGGAATCAATGAGCCAAGCGATTTAATCAAGTAATCAGCGAATTCCCCACTTGGACAGTTAAATGTTAATTAATGTTAATTAATGTTGAATTAAAACACATCTACGAAGCATAAATTTGGTAAAGAGGGAGGGAGGGAAGGACGAACAAACGGACAGACTGACTTAACATCACGCGTCAAAATACGGCAGAGATAAGCAATACCGGGTTTTCTTCCCTATCTGGCTCAGCAAAGGCTCCGCCATCAAAATGACTCGGGGATATTTATTTCCGCCCGACCTATAGGAGTCTAGACCTTTACGTATCTCTTCTTAGGCTCCGTCTCTCGAAAAGACAAATCTTATTCTCATCGGAAGTCTTACCAACAGATCCGTTTTGATTCTTAAAACAAATAAGCAAAAAAATAGTTTTTGAATAATCAAGGGAGTTTTTGTCATCTTTAGTTCTTCAAACCGCACCAAGCAGTTTCACTTTTGAAGAGGTGAAAAGTCTACACGCCAGTGCGTTTCGGTTTTGAGATAAATAACGTCCCTTTTTTTGTGAACCTTTTTCAAAGGTCGTCACTTTTAGTGCTCCTTAGCTTATTATATTCTCCATTGTCACGCTTTCTGTTGGCTCGCTTTTGGAGGAAGTTTACGGAACAAAGGCCCTCTTTTAACTGGAAACGTTTTTATATGTGATCACCCCGTGGACAGACAAGTGTGAAAAGCACAGTTCATGTTCACAATTATAATTTTCACATCTTTTTTCCTGAAATTTATTGTCCAAAAACAAATTTTCCTTACTGAACTTCTATTTAGTATTAATATTGTTGTCTCCATGGTGACTTGCACATATTGCTTAACAAAATGACAGACACTGCCATTGGACGTTGGCAACACCTGTCCTAAACAACCGGCACTGAATCCTTTAAATATCAATAAATATAGACAGCCTTTAATTTTTGAAGTTCAGGTGTCAAAAGCGGATATTAGGATTGGACTGCTTTCCTGTTTCGAGGTTCATTGAACTAATCATATTGTTTTCTTTAACCAGAACGAGAGATTATATTTTCAAACTCCCATGTGATTAGCTGCAAAGATGAAAGGATGGCTTTATCTTGTTCTTTTTTGCTGCATAGGATTTTTCCTACAATGTGTCGAAATGAAAAAGGAGAAGAAACATGTTTCTTCTGACGTTGATCGTGTGCTTTTCGCGCTTAAAAAAGCCGTGATGTTTTTTGAGCAAAGCGGAAATAATTTGAACTTGGACGCGTACTTTGGGCTTCGAATCGCTCAAGGTTGGTAAACGTTTCTTTATATATTACCATCCTTCCTGTTCAATATTGTGCTTTGAGTAAAACTGTGAAGTGTACCATGAGAGTAAGTCTACCAATAAGCCAAAACACATTTACCTTTTCTTAGCTGGCTTTCAGAATGATACCTTAAATCAAAATTACAATCACAGCAGACTGAAGCCTGTTAATGCCTTTTAGACCGCTAAAACTTAACCTTTTTCTCGGACGAATTCATGACAATATGAGCTATCAAAATTTTAGCATTGAATAAGTGCCTGGGAAGAACGAACATCAAAACACATACATTTCACGTCGGATTTTTTATTTTATAATGATGCCACTTCTAAAAAGAGACTGTCCAGAATGTTTATGGTGGTGATTGCACTTCTAAAACTTGTTACGTGATTAATTTGCATAGGAAATCTTCTTTAGAGGCCCAGTACTAGCCTGATCAGTTGAAGGTATAAAGAAATTTAGTATAATATTTTAACCTATAAAATAGAATCAGGTTGTCAGGTGCTGAGTCTTGAAAAAGACCTACCATCCACAAAGATTAGATGTCAAAGGTCTGGCATATTTATCTAAACTAGTTCCCAAAAAGGAAGGAAAAATATATCGATATCTATCTATATCAAGATTTTTATGTGAGCGATTCACCTTATACTTGCAAAAGAGAGGATTTAATTCGGCTTCATTTAAAAATAAATAAATAAAATAAATCGTTTAATAGGGGACAGTTATACTGAGTAACCCAGAAGTTATTTAAGACCAGAAACCAGTGGCGATCCAGGGTGTCGCCCAAACTAAAGTGAGGCCTGAAGGGCCGGAAAAATTTTTTTGAGACCGGGACCACCTGCGCCCCCATCTTAGGATCCGGATGACCACCCCCCAACTCCCACCGAAATTTTAAAAATATCTTTCACTTCACGGACGCTCAGACAACCCGAAGCCTACCTCTTTAACATATGAGGCTACCAGTTACAGTTAGCGCTCGATCGCGACAACTAAGGGGAAAAATAGGACTAGGATCAACGTGTTAGATCCAGCAGATGTCTTGTAAGATTTACATGCTCTGACCCCTCGGCAAGCAACTATGGCCTTACTGTAAGGATGCAGTAGGATACCAAGCTAGAGTTAATATTTAGTGTATTGGCGGCATTCATCAAAGGCTAGGACCACTACTTGGTCCTTTCTTATTCGCTTCACCCTCTAGGCTCTCATAATTCCCCTCTCATGATCGAGAAAACAGCCGACATTTCGAGATGCCACCACTGGTTTCCCCGCGAAATGACGTCAGAGAAACGTGGGCAGAAATTCCATACTGATGACGCGACACTACCTAGATCTGGGTAGTGCTTCTGATTGGCTGAAAATTTGCTGTAACCAATCAGAAGCATTACCCAGATCAAGGCAGTGTCGCGTCTAGGGCTTTCCACAAGTTCTTCGGCAACTTTTTGGCAACTTCTCGTATTTCAAGCAACCTTTTTCGTTTCTAGCATTTTTTTGCATTCTGAGCAATTTCTCTCGTTACCTTCTAATTCTTAGATATCAGAGCAGCTTTTAGTGCTTAAATTGGCCGTTCTTCCACATTTCACTGTGCTTAAGTAGACAATTTATGAATTTACCGTAAAAAAGGAGCTAAATCCTCCCATCTAGGGCAGATCATGGGGGCAAGATAAGAGTAGCCGGGCTGCTAGGTCAGCAGTTTTTAGAGAAAATTCAAAATGGTGGACGAAGATTCACACTCGACTGACTTGAGTGTCTCGGGTGAAGAAGGTCATTCAACAATTTTATTGGCTCATCACATCTTAATTGAGGACGAAGTTATTTAGCAACGCTGGTTATGCCGCAAAATATAATTACACAAAAATGCTTAGAAATCTTACTTTTGTTGTAAAATTCGCATATTTTAGCATCAGGCCATAAAAAATTTTTGTTTCTTTCGAGCACCTTTTAAGAAACTTTCGTTACAAAAGCAACTTTTAATTGTTTTTTGAGCATCTTTTGAGAAACTTTTCAGAAATTACGGGAAAAATTTTTGGAAAATCTCGCGCACCTTGTGGAAAGCCCAAGTCGCGTCATCAGTATGGAATTTCTGCGCTCGTTTCTCAGACGTCATTTTGCAGGGAAACCAGTTGGGGAGTAGCGAAATGTCGGCTGTTTTCTCAGGCTATAAATGCATAAATACTGACTAACGGAACTGACTTTCCTTTTCATGTTCTTCATTTTGACAAGGTAATTTCATCGCGTTAACTACGCGTAAAAAACGTAAAAGCCTCGGCTACGGTTCTGAGATTTACAGGCAACTTATTCAACTTGAGAAACTGGTTTCTCAAATCGGATCAAAATCGGTAAGGACATTACAGCACGTAAGCCCAAGGTACTTCAGATTGGTTGGGTCGACTGTGACACAGCCCTGGAAAACAGCGAAGCGATTCAAGCGAGTAAACCCGAGGCTCGTCACTGCAATTAATATAAAGATACTACACAACGATATACTGCAGGATTATAAGCCTTGTTTGGCCAAGTTGCTTGGAAGTCCGGAGTATGGGAGCAAGCCTTGCAATGTGACTGAGGATTGTTGGGAAGTGATGATGCGACCGGGGGAGATTGGGTACGTGCTAACTCATCAGGCTCTTTATTTCATGTTTGGCGAGCAGAAAGGTTAGTGAAATTATCATTGTATACAAACTAGCCACAACAAACACAAACAAATACAAAAGGTAACGGAAAAACTAACAACGATAATGGGTACCTGTACAGACGTGCTGCAGCTGTCACGGCAGTGCTCTTTTGGTGCCAAAGGCGACTTTTGTTAGGACGCTCTTGTCAGAAAACTAGCAAAGAATATACAAATTAGTAAACCAACTAGTTTGACAATCTAGTTTGTCAAAAAATAATAACAAAAATAATAACAAATAAATATAAGTATGCTCTGAACAGAGGCAGCTGTATTTTGTACAAATGTTAGCAACGCAGAATAAGCGTTCTTTCAAAATGTTTTACACTTTTTAAAAGTGGTTAATACGGTAATAAAGAGATGGCCATAATAGTTGACAAAAAGGGATGAAATTTAGTAGGAAAGTTTTATCGGAGGGGCGTCGCGGTTTTTCACAACTTTTGTGCGTCTTAGTGTTGTTAAAATTTTCAAATGTGAATAGATAGGCCGGTTCCAGCCGATCAGAATTACTTTCAATGTAAATATTGATTGATTAAAAGTTCATCGCGTGATTGAGTGATTGAGTGGTTGACAGGTTGCTTCAGTATCTTTTCAAAGAAGATAAAGGCGTCCAACAGCTCGTTGGAATCTGTGTACGACAAAATCTGCTCAAACATCTACAGTCAACTGCTAATGATGGAGGGAATTCGCAAGATCAAAAGAATAGACGCTGATCTTATGATGGAACAGAGTGTAGTGTGTGGATTACTAGGATATTACGAGTTCTTGTCGCCAACACGGATGGAAACTTTGATTAAGTGGCAGCGAGCGAGTGGTTGTTATGGTGACATTAAAGAAGAGGAGAATTCAAATGGCAATCACAGCAAGCAGACCATGAGAAAAATTCTCATGGAGAAAGAATTGTCGGGTAAGCTTTTTTTGAGTCTTGCCAATAAGCACCTACAATCCTGGCCAAAAGGTTTTGGGACACAGCCTCTTTTTTACGTGCTTTGTATGGAATTTGCAGCTAACCGGCAATATAGCCACCGCGAGCAAGCTCTCCATTTACTGCGAGTGAACGCGCGAGCGAGCGGCGAAGCCCCTCGCATTCGCCGCTCCTTTCGGGGGGGGTGCTCTCGCGTGACTTCCCGCGATTCCCCTAAATGGAGTGCTTGCTCGCAGGCTACCGGAAGGGCGTTAACAAGGTTTCTCCCCTCTTCCAGAACAAAGATGTGGCCCATAATTTGGACAAGATTTGAAAAAGAGTGTTTGACTAGTAAAACCCAACCCTGGCCAGGGGGAGGAAGGGTTAACTTGAATTGCAATTTTCGTTACATGAAAGACAAAGTGTCCCAAACGTTTTGTCCAGGATTGTACTTCACAAGTGGAATAAATACTTAGCACTGTTTTTCGTTTCACATAAAAATGTTTTTGCAGCTCAGCGGAAGGAAAAAAATATATTTATTCATAGTTACATTATTTACGAGAACACGAACTGCAAGTACTTTGGCAGAAAAAGACCTCCAAGTATCTGATTTTTTTTTTCCAGTAGAAACCGGATGATAAAATTTTGAGTTAGCAAATGAGACGCTTCAAGAATGCAGTATCTTGCGCCCCACCTATCAAATATATTTAGGCAGTAGATCACCTTTTTTTCAAAACACTCTGTTCATAGCAGTCACTTCAATGGTCGCCAATAGACATTTTAACATGATCGAAGAATGAAACCACTTTACCCAACTGGAGGCCAAAATATCGACAACATTCGAAATTAAATCCAAATTAAGCAACCCTAATTATTAATCCTGAAAATTGTGTTAAAGTTTATGAAAATGATACAAACAATATATCATTAGGGAACCCTTTTAACCCTTAAAAAAAGTAAAACAAAACAAAAAGCCTTGAAAGTCAATCCTGGTTTTATTGCAAACACCGTAAGTCACTTATTAGGTCTAGACAAACGTCGAACTTTTCGTGAGACGAACCAAACTTAGTGAGTTAAGTTCGTGAAAAGTTCGACGTCAGTAGCTAAGTTGAGTTCGTCGGAATGAGTTTGGATCGTCCATACGTTCTATCCGTCTGCTTCAGACTGATAGAACGTCTGAAGCTCGTCTCCGGGACAAACGTTGATCTTCACATGCGACAAACTAAACTAATAAATTTAAAAAAATTGTACGATAAATGTTTATTAAGCCTTTTTCGGGAGAAAATTTATTGGAATTGCTTTTGTTACGATTCAGCCGTGGTTGGTTCGACGTGTCCTAAGTTCGACGTCTGATGCAACAGACGATCTTAACTTAGTTTAGGACGGCCCAAATTAGAGTTTGGTTAGTCTCATAAAAAAGATCGACGTTTGAACTTGGCCTTAGCTTTTTGTTTGTGTTTTGGCAGATGGGTGCGAATCACATATTACAGGAGTTGGGACCGCTCTTCTCTCCATTTATCTTCGTTATCTCATCGAAAATGATACACCCCTATGGAATGGACTCGATTAATTAAAAAGGACACTTATTAGTCAAAAAAGAAAGTTATATGAGCCAGAAGAACATGTTTGAACATATTGAAGTAAAGGTGTTGGTTATTGATGATATTAAGTTTATTCGTCTGTTGTAGGGTGTGGGAAGGTATCAAGATAAAATTGACACTCGTCGTTTGTTATTAGTTAGTAAAATATTTCTTTTTATTGATTGATTGTCTGGATGGGGTTAAATAGACAAATGAAAAACAAAATAAAACAAAACAAAACAAAAATGTAATCTCATGTGATTTTAGTGACAAAATAACCAATTCTCAGAAATTTATATGATTACTGACATTTCCAAGCTGAGACCGCTAACGTCTGAAACTTGCAGTTACGACGGAAACCTGGTAAAACTTACGCAACAACTAAAAAAATCAGCTCGACTTTCAGCGGTTGAAGGACGTTGATTTTCCTTCCATCCAGAATGTTAAATAAACCATGAAAAATAAAATTAAACAAAATTTTAAAATGTTTCTGGGAAACATGCTCCCGGAAACGCCAGAAACTCCCGCTCTTGGAAATCGGTAATTCGAGCCTCTAGATAGTCGGCCCTACCCTTGATTTAGAATAAGTAACAGGTGCCTTCCACAAGAATATACGGTATAGACAAAAGAGGACAAGGATTATAAATTTTAGTGCATTTTAAGGAATGATTCTAACGACTTTTTGCTGTCTGGGACTTTTATCAATGGGGGCTGCGCGTGGACCCGTTTCTCGTCAACTATGAGCTATCTGATTGGCTATAATTTGAGTGCGAATAAAATAATCAGTGGGAAAAGGAAGGTAGATAACACATGTTATCTTATTGAACAGATTACTAATGTTAAATTCACTTTTCCACAAAACCTTTCAACTATTATTATGTTTGGATTGCCGGGCACTCGTGCGGCTTAATGTTTTTATGTAAATTTTGGACATATTGAAATGAATGGCTGCATTTCGTTCAAGAATGGTCCGATAAACAATCTGTTCTAAGGATTTTGTCAAGCTTAGTGCGCTTTATCTGACTATTTCCCTCGTTTGCAAATTAGGCAATTGAGCATTTGTTTTTGGGTCTGAAAAACTTGACAGGGTTTACATTTGCCGTAAGCTTTCAAACTCCTTACATATAAATTGTTTCAAAGATAAGTGTGAAAAGTAGTTACTTTGTAGACTATTCTCATTTAGTTTGGTTTCCACACACAAATGAAGTAAATGTACAACAATCGACGAGAGGTTCATGAGGGAATTCGTGAGAGGTAACATGAATTGACCACGAGCACAAAGATTGCCCATTATTTTCGTTTGACAACTTACGATTGTAATTCTGTTATTGTTGTTCGAAGAAGCATATGTCGCCATCTTCTTCGTTTATATTTCTCAAAAAATTTTAAAATTTTTGAACGGCTGTATCTTGACCCTCACACCCGATAGCCACAAACAATGGGGGTAAGCTTGGAATGCTCTTTCTGAATATGTGGGTCTTAGGTTGACAATCCCTCGGTTTAAAACCAGCAATGCTTAAAACAAGCTATGATCATTTTTGAGACATTCCATGTTACCATAACGACAATATGCCCTGTTGAAACGTAACCCTGTCAAGTGGGATGCAAGGAAGGCGCAGTGGTGAGAGCACTCGCCTCTGACAAATGTGGCCCGGGTTCAAATCCCGGCGTCGACGCCATATGTGGGTAGAGTTTGTTGTTGGTTCTCTCCTTTGCTCCGAGAGATATTCTCAGCGTACCCGGGTTTACCTCGAAAAAACAATTCCAAATTCCAATTCCAACGGGAAATAGGTAAACGAAGAACCACTTCGCGGATGTGCTGCCTCTAAATCGTTATTTATTAACAAAAACATTTTAGCGTCCTGCAAGCTATAAAATGATCAAATCGGAGATATATCTCACTACTAATGTGATTTATTTAATAGTAAATTCATTTTCTGTGTAGATAATGGGTTTAACAAAATACAGGGCAACCAGAGTTATTCTTTTTCTTCAGTCTGTGTTGATTGTTACCACAAATTAGCCATGGTTAGTTAACAGCCATCAATCTCCTGGATTGAATAGAGACTTGGTTGAAAGTTTGCTGTTGTTGAGCCAGTGTTTTCATAAAGGACGAGTTCTGGTGAGGCTGACATGGAAGTGCGGCATGTTGATCGACCGTCGGTTCTGGCGCCGATCATCAAATTGTTCATGCCAATCGCAATGACATCGTTTTCGTTAGGTCTCACAAAAAGCCCCATTCTACTAAACATTTTCTTCACCGCGTCTCGAAAGTCTTTTTTTCGAATGGAATAGATGATTGGGTTACAAAGTGAGCTGACAAAGAAAAGGCAGTTTGATAACAGCACCACCTGAGATGAAACTTTGATACGTGTCGCATATTGGCGACAAAAACTTACAATCCACAGGGGAAGAAAACAGATTAAAAACGCAGCAATAACAATGAAAACATCAAAGGATGCCTTCCGCTCTTTCTTTCTCCTTGTAAGCTCTTGTTGAATGCTTTGGGCAGAATCATCGAGACTTCCCAGCTGGGCTTCTTGCGCAAGGGCGTTTATCTGCCTTTTCGCTGTCTTGTAAACCGACCAGTTGAGAAACAGGATTACCACAAACGGCCCAAGGAGGGTGACGACGGTAAAAAACACTTTTCTGGTTTCTGGGACGTCGCTCCTTAGAAGCCATCCATTTTCACAGAAATACACCTCTGGGTTGTACACGAACATGCCATATCCAAGGAATGGTCCTATGGACAGTGGAATTGGGATGAGCCATATAAGGAGCACTAACAACATCTTGGGAGACGTCATTGTACCGTCGTACGTTAACGGGGATTTAACGATCGCCTTGTATCGATCATAAGACACCGCTAGCAAATGAAGAGTCGTGTTAACGTAAAAGTATCGATGAAAGCACGAATTTAGATGACACATCGTTTGGCCGTATACCCATGTTTCTTCCGCTATGCTTGCAATACGAAACGAGTTAACCAGGATTAAACAGAGAAAGTCTGACACAGCAAGACTGGCAAGAAAGAAATATCGGACCTTATGCAATCGTCTTTCCAGGAATATTGTCAAGATCACCAGCAAATTACCCGAAAGACCAATGGCGTCGAAAAGTGCATGAAACACTGCAATGACTTGAGGAAACACCATTCTTATTTTAGGGTTTTAAACTTCCAAGACCTGTTTGCACGCTATCCTGTTGAGTCTGACCAAAAGATATGGAGAAGAAAAATATTATATTATGGAAAAAAGTGTAACAGAAATACAGTTTTGGAGGAAATTTGCTAATGTGGCAGGAAATAACATATAATTAGTTTTTAAACAAAAAAACAAACAAATAACTTAAAAACAATCTGAAAGCATGAAAAAAATTGCAGTAATTGCCTTGCAAATAGGACTTTCTGGGGTAAACGTTCTGACCTATTTCTGCACGAAATACAGGAAATTAACATATAATAACTATTTCATTACTTCTTACATTTTAGTTTTCGGTTTTTCTACTCTGTCGGTCCAGCGTTTATTCAAAGACTGTTTGATTTGCTAGTTTGCGAGGAAGTCAGTGTATGTTCATGGGAACAAGCAAAATCGAACAGCATCTGTTTTCTTCTTTTTCCTTTTTCCTTTTCTCAAAGCCTTAGTATTTATCTTTACCAAAGCTAAGGTTCATAAGAAGAGATAATTATCGTGCCTTTTTAGATGAACAAGTGAAAATTCTAGCAGAAAATAAACACGGAAACGAACAGAGCTAGCGAAATTATTTGTTTTGAGGACAGCAACAGTTTTCTCGATTTATTTATTTATTTATTTATTTATTTTTAGGCGACGAAAGAAAGTAACCGCAAGATAAAGACTGTAATATCTCTCTGTGAAGTATGAATGGAGGTTTGGAAACAGCGAATGCAGCATAATATAGCGACAAAGGTCCTAAATAAAATTCGTCATTTTTACACAAAAGAGCGTGGGCAAAAGTGACGGAAAATCAAATACTCAGTTTTTTTAATAATAATAATAATAATAATAATAATAATTGTTATTATTATTATTATTATTATTATTATTATTATTATTATTATTATTATTGTCTCTATTATCACAGTCTTTGCTGGTGTTCTTTTTGTGCATCAGCCGGGCGCAAACCATGCACCTAGAGTGTCAGTCACTCAAGTCAATCATTCTGTTCATACACTGAGCACCTTTCTAATTATTATTATTATTATTATTATTATTATTATTATACACTTTATTTAAAGAGGGTAGCAAGGAATAGTTACAGAAACTAGTAAACTTGTGGATCTCCCAGCTGACGAATTCTAACAAATATCTATGCCAATTTCCAAGGCATCCGTTTTTTTTTTATTTAGCTAAATATCTTTCTGAGTACACGACCGATTTTGTTTCGTCTCTACCGAGTTATTTTCTCCTTCATATAATCAAGATCGGGAGTATGGACCTTCTGGCCGGCAATAAAGTCAATATGTAGATAGATCCACGTCCCTCAAATTAAGCATCCGTTTTGTTTTTGAAGAAAAATAAATTTAGCTAAATATCTTTCTTTAAACGAGTGATTTTGTATCGACTTAACATCTCCACACCATATCATTTCAACGCGGCTAATACAATGATCGTTTGTTTTAAACTTCTGTTACCTATCCACATGCATAATTGCGCTATCGTGCATAATAGCGGAGCTCCACCCGCGCGCGAAGCGCGCGAGCGTGGGCGGAGCCCCATAGGTAAGGAAATGTGGTAATCTACCCATTCGTGAAAATTTGGTAATCACGTGACCGTACGACCGTCCGTCCGCACCACAGGGAAACCAATGTCTACTCTCACACTTTCTAGCTAGTTTGGGAGCCCAAGGAAAAACTAATGGCACATCAATGTTGTGATCAATTGACAGCTGTCAAAAGAGGGCACCCGCTGACCAGTATCACCTGACCGTACCACGGGCTCAAGTGTTCACCCATCAAGGTCGAGTATTTTTT